GAAATCGTTCCGGATTTCGAAACTGGGCTCTGATACCACTTGTTAGAGTGCGCAGCTCGGCCCACCAACCGTGGGCCACCCAAATCACATTGGGCCTGCTCCACCATAGGCCCAACCGAAGCCACAAACTTTAGGTCCTAGGCCTATACAACTCAAAAGACTAGTCTCATGGGTGAGGACTACTCCCACCATCGAAGTCATTCTCCCCCATCATCAATTACCAACTGGGACTAAACCCAACACGGCATGCCTCAAGATCAGTGTTAATGACTACCTCCATGTAACCAGAAGAACGGATCTGGATATATTATGCTAAGATCGACAACCAATTATCAAGTTGGTGTGCTAGAAGACTAACTGATGCAGCAGGGTAGGAAAATATGGTTTCGATCAACGCAGGTTCAATAGCGTTTGAGAATAATTTTCTAGCATGCATGTTGCTAAAGCAACAAGCATAGCCTGGTTAGAAATGTTGATCTGCAGGCATTTACAGACTGAAAACCACATTTGTTTTCCTTTGTTTCTAGTTGATCAAATTACCTTAAACTGTGCCTATATGGGGAGGACGAGTAGAGGACGGCTAGGGGAGAGTTCTCACCACAATCACGATGCGGTGAGGGATTAACAGTGGCAATCGTTGATGAGCTTGCTGTGGCGGCGATGAACGGAGAAGATTGATGAGGAGACGGCTCTGACGATCTTCGGGCCTGGTGAAGAGGTAGACAACGATGCGCATGGAGGTGCTGACTTGATGGAGAGTACGATGACCACGGGTGGCGCTTCGACGAGGTAGGAATGACAGACGGAGGAAGATGACGACAACAGGGTGGCGTTCCTAAGGTCTTTGGTCTGCGAGGAGGTTACGGTGATGGAGTAGGAAAGATAGCCGGCTTGGGTTGATGGCGAGGATGAAGCTCCGGTGCTGGCGGAGCTTGGTGAAGGCATAGACTAGGGAGAACTCAACGAGAGAAAGACCGGCGACAGCGATGGTGCAGCGGGACGACGCTCCGACGATGCGGGAGGGGCTGTAGGTAGAGGAAAAAAGCTAGGGTGGGCTGGTGTTTCATTGGCATCTAGGCTCGGGAAAGGGCATGCCAAGGACAAGGAAGGCGTGACGCAACCGTCGACAGTGGCGGCACGGGCTGGCACAGCCCTGCTCGACGGAGAATGGCTGTGAAGGTGGAGAAGGATGATGTTCTTCACTAGTTGAGGGCCGAGCACGCTTCATGCGGTCTTGTGGCGAACCAGACGTGAGACTGGGGAAGAGGAGGTGGCTGCGACTCCGAGGGTGGTGGCACCGGGTTCCTGCCCAGCTCGGCTCGATGAGGAATGGCAGCTGTAGTTCGCTGGCGAGGTATAGATGTGAGGAGACGAAAAGAGAGCAACAGACCTCCGGAATGCCAAAGGAGGGGGAGAGGAGGTTGCCTACCCTTTGTAAGCCAAGGGGAGGAGAGGAAAGGCCGGGGGAGCTCTCCAGCCTGCCATCAATGGCAACAGTTCGTCGGAGAGTAAATTCGGGTAATAAAGGCTAAATTAAGAGGGAGAAACACTGGGAAATGATAGGAGGAGGAGGAGGAGGAGAACCAATTTTTGCAATCAATTGGAAGAGCAAACAAACTGGGAGGAGGCAGATCGGCGTGGGCGGCACAAGGGTTTTGGCCGGTAGAGTGAAATGGCGCAGCTAGGGTACGCGCTTGGCACGTGGGCCCCACCTGCTAGAGCACGAGGGCGATCGACAAGGCGCGAGAGGCAGGGCGTGGGAAGGAGCAGGGAAGAGGAGGTTGGGTCAGCGGGAAAGGATGGCCCAAGAGGTTGGTGGAGAAAGAGAGGGAGAGGAGGAAGGGTATGATACAAAAGGAGACTTTGGCAGCGGGCTGAAGGAGGAAGGGAGAGCTTTGGGCTGGATTCGGCCCAAAGTGAAGGAGATGATTAGTTTTAGTTTTTTCATTTTAATAAACTTTGAAATTTGTTGATGTTGCATTATAATTATTTAGGTGTTCTAAAAATTCAAATAAAATTTGCGGAACCAATTTAGAGCATGGAGAATTTAAGAAAAATAATCAAAGCGACTTTAAAATATTTCTTAGGCATATTTTAGTGCTTGAGATTTATCAGGACATGACAATATCCACCATCTAACACCAAGAATAGAACCAACAACCCATATGAACAAAAAGTTCTCTCAACTCTTTAGTTAATCCCTAAGATTGCATCACAATTTGATCTCATTCCCAAATCCCCTCTCTACTATCACCATCTTTGCTTTTACAACCTTTGTATTTACTGCCCCCCCATTCCATCATATGATGGAACTCCACCTGGGAAGGGGAAGATTGTTCTAAAAGTATTATTACCATTGTCCTGAACATCCCATTTGCACATTACATGAATCAACATCTCTAACTTGTTCGTTGCTGGGAAATCGAGAGAGAAAAGACCTCGTTTTCCACATGTACGCTTCCAAACTACTAAAATATGTGTTTTTTTTAAAAAAATCTATGGGAAAGTTGCTTTTAAAAAACCATATTAATCCATTTTTACAATTTAAAATAGTTAATACTCAACAAATCATGCGAACTCGTTTTGCATATCTTCTCAATTTTCTCTTTTCCTCTCCTCTCAAACTCTCATGCTTAGCCTTGTGACTAGTACGAACAGAAATTTAATTTTGGTGCCACATAAAATTTTGACTTATCTGACAGTTTAATTAATATTTCCTCCGTCCCACAAAGACTCCATTTTTAGATTTATATATCCAACGTTTGACCATCCGTCTTATTTGAAAAATTTTCCTACAGCTAAGCTAGCTTGATGAGCTAATGGTCTAAATATAACTATTTCCTTCATTTCAAAATATAAGCATTTTTTTTGTTCAGCAGAGATATTGAGAATAAAAACTTTGGTACCCATTGTAAGATTAGGTATAAGATGAGGTAAAATATTTACATGGATATGGTTGATGGGGGAACCGGCTCCTCTAACATTCAAGAAGCACTACTACAAGACATACAAGACATCAAATAGTAGTCGCCACTATAGGTACCGATAGAGATAGTAGTCGCCACTATAGGTGCCGGTAGTACTAAAACCGGCACCTATAGACCTTTTTCCACCTCCGCGGGTTGAAATCGCAAAAAACCAGCACCTTTAAGTAATTATAGGTGTCGATTCTAAATAAAAACTGGCACCTATTATATTTTGTGTCTTCACTAAAAACTGACACCTATAATATATTAAAGGTGCTAGTTTTTTTAGAAGACCGACACCCTACCAAACGAGCCGAGTCAAGAGACGGCCTTATCCGCTTGCCGAGTGGGAGGTGAGGGGGCAACCTTATCCTTTCTCTCACCCGTGACCTCTCTCTATCTCACCCTCTCCTTTCTCTCTCGGCCTCTCTCTCTCTCTCTGCACCCGAGGGCGGCGGCGGGAGGGAGGCGGCGGCAGCTACGGGTGACGCGCTCCCCTCTGCCAGATCTGACGAGAGGGGAGGTGGCGTCAGCGGCCCGACGACGGAAGGGGATGCGGCGGCGGCGGGTCGGTGGCGGGAGGGGAGGCGGCGGTGGTCCGACGGCCCGGCGTGGCGCCTGGCGGCGGTGGCCCGACTACGGCTCAGCGGCGGGAGGTGGCGACGGTGGCTTCCTCGTAAGCGGCAGCGGTGGTGGTGGCGCCCTCCTCTTCATCCGCAGTGGCGGTGGTGATGAAGGCATCCTCCTCCTCGAACCGATTCATTCTTGATGAATATGTTTGATTCTTGATGAATGTGTGTTCTTCATGAATGTATTATCGATGAATGTGATGTTGATGTGTTGTTTTTTTAGGATTATGGATTGTCGACGGTGGATACCCGTAGACCGGATATAGAAGGTATTGGGGTACGCTGGTATGAGGATCTACGTAGTACGACATCAAGCAAACAAAAGATAAGGATTATACTGGTTCAGGCCCCTTGATAGCTAATAGCCCTAATCCAGTTGGTAAGGGATTATATGATGGAAACCACAGATTACAATGGGAATAGCGGAACTCGATGATATCGACGAGACCGTAGTCGAGTTGGTTCGACTAGATCACCCGGCGACTTTGCTCCTGTAGGCTCCGGCTTCGTAGGCTGTGGCGGATGTGTGGGCGGTGAGATTCGATGCCTTAGGTCCTGCCCAGGGGGTCCCTTTTATACCACGGGTCAGTTGATCTCCAAGTAGAACTCGGAGATATCGGACCCATCACGATATGGTAAAAACCCAGTCTTGTCTGTGTAGGACTCCTTCCATCTATGGATTCTGTTTCTATCACGTGATAGATTTCCTTAACGTACACAGGAATTATCGGTATCCACGCGGGTATACCGTATCAGTATGCAACGTACGTCCAAGGATAGAGGGTATACCTTATCCGTAACCCTGACATGGACTATGTTTGTGTTTATGAATTTGAGGAAATTTTAGGATTTGGGTATTAGATTGGATCGTCTTGACGGCTCAATGCATCGGCTCGATGCATTGAGTTGATTTTTTTTTTTTGCTCATGGGCGTGTTAAAGGTGCTGGTTTCTTAGGTAATAAGTGCCGTCTCCTGGGTGCCGGTTGGAAAAACCGGCACCGAAAGCGGTTTCTCAACTGGCACCCTTTAGAGTTTACTAGTAATCGTGCACGTGCAATGCACGTATTAGCAAATATTGTATGAATATGAACCATCTATTTATAAGCAAAGCATATTCAAATGATTGACAATAGACCAAGGCTAAAAAACATGGTTTTTTTTCTTTTAAGACATTGTAGTTCTGCTTTTATTTTTATATAGCAAGGGCATATTACTATATAAAAAAGATAAGAATAAACGTTGTTCTGCTTGTCATAGTATGTTGACTGAAGCATCTAGGTGAATCCTTTGGCGTGGTTGCGTAAAGATTCATTTAGTTGTTTATTTTGGCAACTTAAAATGTACATAAATCTAAATCTGAGGCACATTCCATCTAAAGAAAACCTAGAGCTAAATCTTCAAGACTGTAGAATTGATTCATTCACTATATGTAAATCAATCTCTCTTGCAGTGTTTGTGGCAAAAGATGAGCGGTGCAATCTTGATCACTAATTACAGTTTATTCTCTTTCCATCGTTTGTACACGCTTGTTTTTGTGTCTCTAAGCATCAGAAGAAGAAAACACAAAAGAGGTAAGCAAATGACAATACATTCTTTACTGAAGATACTGGCAGCATAATGCTATACGACTGTTACTTATTTCAGTTTCTTGCAAGAACTACTAATGGAAGGATGTGCATCCAGTAAAAATAAACTCAATGGAGCAGACCATGAACATGATTACATGAATGGAGTCAGAGGTGGAGACACCGCTTGGCAACCCCGGGCAGCCACCTGGGCTTATCGGCAAACACATAATAGAATTTTATCATTATCTTAGTGATTGAAAATATATTTCTTTTATAATAAACACTCAATGTAAATGGATTTGTCCAGCTCTAAAAGATTCCTAGCTCCGAAAATTGTGAAGTAACATGCATTGGATGATTGAATATGTTGGTTCAGGTAGGTGTATTTCTACATGAAATTGAATATGTTGGTTCAGGTAGGTGTATTTCTACATGAATTTTAATTGGCAAATGATATCTAATTGACATTAAGAAAAATTAAACATGTACATGTACCCAAGCCTAAAAAAAAAAAAAAATCATTGGGTGTATAAGAAACACAAAACCAAAGGATTGGATCTAGTAGCCACCCTAACATATAGAAGTGAGATTTTATTCATGAACTTAGGAAAAAAACATGCACATGACCTAGGGTATTTTACACATTAAAAATATTGCTTCATATATAGTAGAATGGCAATTCAGTGATCTACATTAAAATCAAAGTAGCAAACAACATCATTGCTCATCGAGATTATCCCAGTCAATGCAGCAAAAAGTGCATTTACTTACCAACAAAGATTGTTTCATCTGTGATTTTACATTGACAACCAAATCCCTTGAGACCTCATTCTTTGAAGAGGATATATGCCTTCGTCCATTCTGAAATATTGATTCAATCCTAAGGGCAAAATATATAAAAGGGGCAAAACAATGTTTGGTTTTCATGAGATAATATCATGCAGATCACATTAGCAACCTTTAAGCCTTCTAACTCCATTTCCAAGTCTAATTGCATCCCCTTCACTGAGTAGAACATATATATTATCAGTAATCAGGGTTTTAGCTAAAAGGGAGTCAGTATAGATCAGAATCGAACCAATTGAAATATATCCGATCTGATGCAGAGAAGTGGAGAACCAACCTTGTGCAATCGCTGAGCATTGCCACACACCTATGAATTCCTACTTCGACAGGAAAGACCATAAACACAGTAGAGCTACCTGTTTTTCCTTCAGTTCAAGAATTTCTGCTTTCATTAATCAAAACAAAAAGAAGAACCAAAAAATTTGGAAGGAGAGGAACTAAAGATTTTCTTTAGCACAAGAGCCTTCCTCCTCGGGATGTCGCTTTCAAAATAAAGGATATCGAGCAGTGCAAACAGATACTTTCACAGGTTAATCACAAACCAAATTTCAGTACAGCCGAAAAAAAAGAGATACTCCAATCATGCACAAACATGAAAAAAAAAACATATTTCAACAATTAGATCCCATTTCAAAGAAGCGGTTTCAGTTCTCTCAAATATGACAGGAAATTTGTTAATATTAATACTGGTGGCTGACCATATCAAGGCTAACATGGGAATGAAGCACATCAGTTGAACTTCAGATTCAGTAGTGGTAGAAAATTGGCATATTTAGCCATTTTATTATAGGAGTAGTTTTTTGAGCAAGAAGAAACTTTCACTTCATAGAGCAATATATTAGTAACTCCACTTCATGTAGCCAGAAAGTAACAAAGGAGCTTGATGAAATACATGTGCAACACTGATTAGAAATAGCAGTATGATGCTTGATGATAACTCATCCAGATAATGCAATGTTGTATGCAGTGGTTTTTTAATATTCCACTCCAAGATTCACATGACTTTTTTTTATCAATAAAAGAAGGCAGATAACAGTAATAAGGTAATACTGGGAAGGGCATGGCATCTTACTTTACATTTCATAGAACGGACTCAGAGAGTTTTTAATGGCCCATCTGTTACATCTCATTATCTATGAACTTCCAAATTAGTTGCAGTTGAACAATAAAGGGACATATCTTAAAATAAATAATCTCCTTTTTTGTGGGTTAAAATAAATAAATCTCAAAAGGAGTCTACATGCAACTAAAGATCAAGCAAATAGATATACTGTAGCCAAGTCCACATGTCCCTTGAAACAATGTCCAGGTTTGCTGATTGATTATGAAATATGAATTGATCTGCAAACTTTTGAATGCAGTAGAAACATGAGACAAATAAATCTCAGTCAAGAAACAAAGCTATTGTGTTGGGAATATAAGGTAAAATTGGACAGGTTAACATATCTATATCACTATTAACATACTGACATGACTCCAATAGTCATTAAAAAGTCAAGGATCTCATAGTAAAATCTATACACTAAAATAATATGGTGTTCTACCCTGCAGAAATGAAATATTTGCCTGCAACATATGAAGTATTGGAGACCAAGGAACAATTCAGTTTTAGTTTACATAGGCAGAGCTTTCAATCACAACATACAGTGCAAAATAGAGTAAATATGAGATAATAATAAGGATTCAAACAGTAACAGGAGTGCACCTCGACCATGCATTTCATCAAACAGTTGGTGAGATGCCCATGGGCACACCAAGGAACCACCGTGATAGCTAATCTGGAAGACCCCCTCACTGTAATGGAAGGGTACCATCTGCAGCACGCAGTAGCTGGAGCCGCTGAAGGCCTAGGTGCAGACATTGTGGCTTGCTTGCGAGGCATCACTGATGGCGGCATGGAATTCTACACATCTATCAAACCCAACTTTTAAAAAAATCTATGCATTTCTGTAATCACTTGAACATCATGTGGATCAGTTTAATGATAATAAAATGAAACACAATATATAATCTTATGATTATAACTAACTGTTAAGTTTGTATTCTTCTTGGTCCCTGAAAGAGAAATTTTCAGCTCCTACACTTGCATCTTGCATCATTTACATAGGTAAAACAAATTGCATTTAGGATTTTTCATGTAAATTTAGGGTGAAAGTGAAACAATACCTCAGAGGTACTGTCATCATGTGCAAGGATCAAAAACAAAAATGACAAACTAATAAAGTTATGAAAGTTGGGATCTGGGGCAATGCCTTTTGTAGTTGAATAAGTACCCAGAATCAATGATTTACATATAGATTGAGCTTTTCATTTTGTATAATTTCCAGAGCATAATCAAACATTTTATCAATTTTGTTATTTTTCATATATATTGGAATTGCATTTTAACATGTATCGATTAAGCAAATTTGGAAATCAACAGATATGACAATGAATCAGTGTGACATAGGGTCATAGTCGAAAGGTTGAATGTTGACATTCTCACAAATTCAAGATTAATATATAGCATATTTCTACAGATTTCATTCGTTTATTTTTTGGCGGGGAAAAATTCTCATAATATAATTAGCATTCACGGAACAATTCATTGATCCTATTTGATAGCAGAAAGGAGAAAGAGAAAGTAAATGCAATCTGAACAAGGGCACATAAAGGAATTGAGAAGGAGAGGAGACGGAAAAGCAAACCTGGGATAATACCAGCAGATGGCAACCGCTTTGCTGCTGTGGTAAAATCATTCATCGATGAGGATACTGGCACAACAGAAAGACGTGGTAGGAATCCTCTCTCCTCGGGCGTGTAGATAACAAAGAAGGCAAGCACACGATGGAGAGGAGGGCGGCAGGGATAAAGGTTGTCCGGTGGTGTGGTGGTGGGCAGCGGGAGTCCGGCTCCGAGGCGTCGAGGGTGAAGACAACTAAACATGGCGCACGGCAAGGATGCGCACGATGAAGACAGGGGCTGGGGAAGACCTCGCCTCCGGTTCAGTGCGCGGTGACGGCGGCGGCGGCGGCGGAAAGGAACGACCTCATGGGCAGCGGTGGACTGCGGCGGCGGCGGCGCATCGGGAAGACCTTGTCTCCGGCGGCGGCGGTTGGGGACGACGTCGGCTCCGGGCGACGGATGGGGACGACGTCGTCTCCGCCTGCGGCCGGCCGCGGTGGATGGGGAAGCTCCAGCGGTGGGGAAGACCTCGCCTCTCGTTCAGTGCGCGCCGGCGGCGGAAGGGGACGACGACGCGAGTGAGTCGCGCGTTGAGAGGGTGATGACTGATGAGGCGTAATCTTCGCTCGGTCTTCACGCGTGGAGAGGGTGAAATCGTGCGGTGGAGATGGGTGGACGGTTCGGATTACATCTGACCTGCGTATGGACGGTAGAGACTGAACCAGGTGATTTCACCAGTACGATTGGAGGGGTCCAACTCCTTCTTTTTATATTAATATAGATATAGATGTAGCAGTGAAGCATGTCGGGAGTAACGTAACCCAGGCATCCACCATCAAAATTGATCCAACGGGCCTATCTTTCGTCTCTACAGACTACAGGGTACACTAGGGAGTCCTCTCGTTCTTGATTCCCGAGGCTGCAGATAATGGCTATCTCTGTAGCTTCTTTCGCGTGTCGACTACGGTCATGTGTGGCGTGGGCCACCGATTTCTTGCCGGCCTTTTCGACCTTGGTGACATCCTGACCCGTATGTCCTGCCGATCGACAACCGGCGACAACGATGGTCGATATATGAACATTTTATGTAGAGTGGATAAGAGGTTCTACGCAACCTAACGTGAATATGATAACGATAAAATATACAATAATATGTTTGAAATGTGATGTACCATGAATACATATGACGATAGATCTAACGATTAGAAATAATGGTTCCACCGGTTTAAAAGGTATGGAAGTATTCCAGAGATGTAGCTTAAAAATTATGTTTGTTTTAATGTCTAACATTTATTGCGAAGTGAACGTACCTCAACTGGTTAGTTTCCTTATGGTGGAACTTGCCCACTTGGGTTTAAGTCCTAGGCATGAATTTTTTTCAGTGGTAGACGACGTATCCATCAACACTAAGGCGTTCGTGGTGACTTTATCAATCTCAAAATATGATGTCGGCCTAATCTCTCAGAGGTCCTCATAGGGGTAGGATGTACCTTCATAGACTTCTCACAAAGGAACTCATAGGGGTAGGGTGTGCGTTCATAGGGGTGAGTATGCGTGCGATGTGAGCGCCTGCATATGTACTTTGTTTCTCAAAGAAAATCCAACATTATTTATTGTTTCTATTTTAGTTTAATAGATAAAAAGGGAGGTCTTTGTTTCTAAAAAAATGTCCAACATTAATAGATAAAAAATAGGGAGGTGAAGAACAGTGTTGCGTGCATGTGATGGCAAGGAGGAGGTGGAGGAGATTTGTTTTCTAATTTTTCTAAATCAATTAAGTGAAAGCCGATGATGGGGTGTTTTGTTTTTTTTAAGAATTTCTAAGGTTCTTTATGTTTTTTTATAGGACGTGACACATGGCAACTTAAGATTTTCTTTTAAAAAATACATATAATTGTAAAAAATAAAGGATGTATTAATTTAATTGGTTTTTCTTAGAATTTTAGGAGATGATATATGATCATTTATGAGCACTCTGGAGAGTGTTTAATTGATTTTTTGTTATGTACAGTGATTTAGTATAACATAAGATGTATGTTCAATTAATTTTTCTTTGTTGTTTAGCTGTCTGGCCATGATAGGGTCAACCATCAAATGATGTATTTTATCTTTTATATAGTAGAATATAGCTAATGTGATTTTTGATTTATTTATTGAATTATAAATAAAACAATAGCTATGACTATTTTTATATTATGTTAGTTAATAAAAATAGAACATGAGATAATTGAATTGGAGAGAGGATGGGAGAGTCATAGGAGGAGGGTAAAGGGGTAGTAAAACAGGAGAATGGGAGGAGATTATTGTTTGAAGATAAACGGAACGGTCCTAGAGTTGTTTATTTTTATAAATACATTTGATCTCAGATCTATTAGAAAATACTTTAGGTATTGTATTTTTAATTAAACTACTTAAATTGTTCTAATTTAAGTGTATATTATTAATCAGAAGGTTTAAAAATCTATATGATTTTTTTCTTAAAAATGTATGGATTGGATCAGTGAACAATAGCTAGTCCATAGATTATATATGACCCAAAGTAATGATTATTTAGATTTTACTAAATAATCTAATGGTGTGCACCAATAAAAAGTTTGCTATATGATTTAGATAATATAATTGTTTAAAATTTATCATAAAATATTTTTTCCATCTAACTAAATGAGGAAAATAGGAGATAAAGGATATAGGTGGGGAGGTACATACGCACAACCAGATGTTTTGATTATTCTCATAATTTTTATTATTTTTCTAATTTAACAAAATGTCACGTGGCAGCGTAGAAGTGTTTGTAGAAGTACTACATGGCGGCTTGAGAGCGTTTACATAATGTTTAATGGGCAAATAGCTAAATTTGCTTCCATGTGATAATTTTCAAATGAAAATATAGTTAATATCAAATATAGTCGTAGTATTTTCCCTATATACATCTAATTCTGATAAGTTTATTAGGGTCGGGTGGATGTTTCTTGTATGTATAAAAATTCGAGGAGGGAAGAATTGTCCGTAGTATGTACATACCCAGGAGATTTTATTTTTCTCAGTCGTGGATAGTAGCACGTATTATACATGTGAGAATTTTTTCATTTTTTTTGCTGAGCATTACGTATGCACGGTTCTCTCGTTGCAATTAGGTGGGACCGTGGCATGGCCAATCCTTCTTCTTTTTTTTCAATCATAATTATGTATTTTGTTCCTTTTTTTGGTGAGTAGCAAAATACGGAAGTACATATATGTACGTATATGTCACGCCCCGATTTTTGTTTGGGATTAAAAATCATTAAATAATGCATTTCTAGAAATTTATATTAAAATTTAAATCAATTTAATCAAGTAAATTATTGAGGGTATTTAAAATTTGCTTTAAAAATCATGGCCAGGAATATTTTATAATATTCTATGTGCCCTAATATATTCTCTGGAATTTCCTGCGAATTTTTGGAGCTCGAGAAGTAATTTCAACAATATAAAGTTCATTTAACCAATTAAATAAAAAGAAAAACTAATAAAAAATCTCCTCTCTCCCTTTGGGCCTCTTCCGGCCCAAGGTCCCTTGTTCCTCCCTCGCAGCCCGCTCGGCCTCCCTCCTTCCCTCCTTACAGTCGGGCCGGCCTCTCCCCCTCGGCCCGACCCTTTGCCAAGTCTATTTCGCCTCCTCCCATCACCTCTGTTCCTCCCTCGCCGACAGGTGGACCCATGGGCCCTACCTGTAAGTTCTTATTCCCACCCCAAGCCCGTCTCCAACCGCTAGCATGCCGCCATTGCCGCCCCCACGTCGCCGCCTCTCCCGCTCGGTTCCGCCTCCCGCGCTCGCAACCGACGGCGTGGACCGGCTTCCCTCCACCTCCTTGACCAAACTCCCCCGCTCGTCCCACAAAAAAGGAGGCGGCCGAGCCGCTACCACCCCACGTTTGCGCCCCACTTCGCTGATCGTTGCCGCCACGCCCGGCCATGGTTTTCCCTCCCTGAGCCTATAAAACCCTTCCCCGGTGTCTCCTTTCTCGTTTCCCCTAACTCCCGAGTTTCCCCACGCTAAAAATTGCGCCCACATCGCCGAGCCTATGCGCCACTGCAGCGTCGTGAAACCACCACCACCGGCTTCGCCGCTCCACGCTACATGCCGGCCGCTGCACCACCTCGTCAAAATAGCGCCGGAGCTCTGTTTCCACCTCCAACCCGAGCCACCATTGCCATTCGCAGACTCCGATCTCCGATTGTCGCCGTTACCGACCACCTCGCGCCGCCATCATCGGTGGCCGTCCGGGCAGGCCGTTGCCGCCGCTCCTGCCGCGCGCCTCTCCCGCGCCGTCGCCGACTATGCTGGGTCGCCGGCTGGCCGCCTCCCCTTGGTCCCAGCCGCAGCCGATCTGGGCCATCGGATCAGCCTCGGTCTCCATCCGGGCCGTCCGCGTGGCATCCCCTCTCAGCCCAGCGTCGGTGCCTACGTGGCGCCACGTGGGCGCCACCTCCTCCATGCTAGGCTGCCGTGGCCGCCACGTGGCTGCCACATGCTGCTCCCGCGCCTAGTGCGCGCGTGGACCGGGTCCACCGTGCGCCCACCTCCCTTGAGCCACTGATAGATGGGGCCCGCTTGTCGGCGCCACCTATCCCCTCGGTGACATCATAAATGATTTAAATTGCACTATAAATCATTATTAATTCTAGAAAATCATTTAAGTAGCTCAAAACTTCTATTAATTCATATCTAATTCATACGAACTCCAAATTGAGCCGTTCAACTGGCAAAATGCATCTAAAATTGAGTTCTACATGTTCGTTTACTTTTCATGCACTATTTGCTTTTTTTTATTAGTGTTTTTCCTTATATTGCGTGCCAGTGTGTAGTTTCTGCCATTTTGGAAGATCGTGGTCGCGAGGAAAAGATATAAGGTTGTTTTGAAGAAGCAAGGCAAGTCACACATTCCCCTTGAGCATTTTGATCCTAGTTTACAAATGTTTTATCGTTATCAAATAAATATGCATGTTTTGCCAATTACATGAGAATAGGGTTTACCTATCTGCTCGCTTGTGCCATGTTTACTTGTTACCCGTCCTTGTCAACCTTGGGTGATAATTTATCTAGCTCGTGATACTCATGTTGACCTAGTTAGAACTATATGCTTAGCAATGCTTAATTACCACTAGCTCACTTGATGGGATAATTGCAGTATTAGTCCTTTTAGTATCATGGCGAGCTGCGTGCTCGAGACATCCGGCCATGTTTCATTGGTCGTAGTTATCCAACTAAAATGCGACTGAATGGTGAGCTGTGGGTGCATGGTTTTCTAGTCTGTCACGACCGGAAATAACCCAACAGGCGTTCCTTACGTGCGTGCATTATTCCTTGTCCCAGGAGGCAAGGTACACCAAAAGTTGATACAGTTCAGAGTTTAACAAGCGGAAGCGTAAATAGATAATTTATTACATGGGCAGCGAAGGCCCAGCACACACAAAGACAAACGAGAAACAGCGGAAGACTAGGGCGACGACCACAGGCGCTTGACGGCAGGCACGAGCTAGACACCAAAGCCTTCATCTTCCAGGGACTCCTCTTCTGGGTTTGGGAAAAATTGAGCAAGACTGAGTACAACCACCGTAGTCAACAAGACACACCCACAAGTGCAGAATAAATGCAAGGGAGTACAAGGGAGTTATAATATAAAGGGTTAGGGTTTACCGTAAACAGCATTAAAAGACACTTAGTTGCTCAAAGCTATTTTGTAAATACGGTCCTAGAGCTATACAATATTATTAAACAAGGCCGTGAACCCACACGAGCCTGCCTTAACCCAAGGCCTACGATGATTCAGACCGAACTGGCAACCCGACCCTGGGTCCCAGCTCATCCCAAGCCAACCCAGGCCAACCATTCCACATTTTAGTTGTTAAACAGGTTTTAAGAATTAAAACACTAACTTGGGTACATTGCTCGGCTTGCCCATAACCGAGGGCGCGGCTATTCGAATAGATTATACTCTGATCAGAGGTGTACATCTTTACCCACAAGACACATCTTCCTCACGTGTAGCCACGTGCCACATACCACCTCGGTATACAGACGGAAGACGTGACATAGTTTCCAACCCATCCTAGCCATAGACAAGAGTACCGACCCAATCCCACCTACGGCCGGAACCCCCGGGACAGGTAGGCAGGGCTGAGCCCCTAGCAGCAGGACACCGGCCCTGTGCCATGACATCTCGACTACCGGGCCGCAGCTCGTGTAGCCTTCATTTGCCCTAGAGATGTCCATCGACCCCCGACTTCGTCCATCTCCATCCGTGTACTTTTGTTTATAACCAGACTGAGCCACAAACAAAGCCTTACCCACTAGACATGTGGAAGTACGGTAGTGCTTTACAACAGAGGCCCGAAGACCGGTCCTTATATGGCCGAGGTGCTACTATCAAAACCATGCACCCCGAGCCCAGCCTAAAACCATTTTGGGGATTTTGAATAGAGGGGGCGGGGTGAATTCAATTCCACAATAATCAAACCATTCCATAGTGTCCAGGTGATGAGAAAATTCCCAAAGTTTAGAGTTGTAAAACCACCTAACGTTGCCTAATTAACCAGCGAAGCATCTACTTAAATTCATACCAGTGGTACCAAGAGTAGAGTGTCCATTAGTTGGGGTTTTGTTTATTCTAGGGTGAACAAGGAAATAATAACAATAACAATAATAAGGTCATAACAAAGGTAAATAGGCATGGCTAGATAAAACAGTGATAACGCGGGAATTTAAATAAAGCGATAATGCAATAATTTAAATCAAAATAATTTTATAAACTGGGATTCAATATGTTCAAGGATGATGTGACTTGCCTTGCTCGCTTTCCCAAACGTCGGCTTCAACTTCCACGAAGAGCGGATCTTCCGAAGCTGCAGCGTCTACACGACCAACGGAAAAGAAAAGGCTTTTACTCTAATAAACTCCATATAACAAGCAGGAAGAAAGCACAAAAATGGGTTCTTGACTTCTTAAGGAAAAATTAGAGACTTGAACGGTCCAATTCCGAGTTCAAATGGCCAAGTTATGGCCATTTGAAGTTTATATGCTCTTTAAATGAATATTTGCGAATTTCTTCATTTAAATTTTAATTAAAAAAAAGGTTTATTGCGTCAGCCGAGGGGAGGGGGCGCGCAGACCGGGTCCACGGGGGTGGGGCCCACGCGGCAGCCTCACGGTCCACGGTGGACCGGGCGCACCGGGGCTCGCACCGGCCGGCGCCGTGGGTCCCACGCGTCAGCCGCACCCGAGGGCGCGGGCGGCTGACGGCCGGGCCCCACGCGGCAGCCGCTCGGTGCGCCCGAAGGCGGCCACGCCGGCGCAGCGGCGGGAGGCGGCGCGCCCGCGCCCCTATGGTCGCTGGCGGCGGCCATAGGCACGGCGGAGCAGCGGCCGAGAGAGGGGAGGGAAAGGGGGAAACGAAGCGGCGGTCCACGGCTCACCCCGGTTCGACGGCGACGACGGAAACGGCGACCGGAGCGGAGGAAGACGGCGGCGCGGCTCGGGTGGACGGGGTCGACGGTGCTCCGGCGGTCGGCGACCGAAACGGAGAGGTGGACGAGGTCGGCGGGGACGCGGCGAAGCCGAAGGAGGCGGCGCCGAGGTGGGAGGTGGTCCGGGGCGACGACGGCGGCGGACCGGAGCTCGGCGGTGACGGTGGAGAGAGAGAGCGACGGCGCGAGCTCGATTTCGGCGGGGAGAGAGGGCGGTGAGTGGCGGAAACGGTGGTGGGGAGCTCGGGGAGGGTTTATATAGGGTTGGGAGTGAGAGAGGGCGGCCGGAAGAGGGGGAACGGGCGCGGGAGACCCGGCCGCCATTAATGGCGCCGGCGAGGTTAGGGGAGGGGTTTCCAAACGAATCCGAGGGAGAGAGGGAGGGAAAAATGGGGGGAAAGGGGGAGGGGATCCCGGGGAATAATTCCCCCCACTTTATTGCGCGCGGGGACGGCGGGAGGCGGTGGGATTCGCGGCGGTGGCGGCGCTAGGGCGCGGGGGAGGCGGCGGGAGCGGCGGGAGGAAGGGGATGACGGGTGGGCCCCACCCGTCAGCGAGGGTGGCGGGCGGGCCCGCTCGTCAGCGGCGCGCGCGCGGGGAGAGGCCGAATGGGCCGCGGGGAGAGGAGAGGGAGGGGGAAGGAGATGGGCCGAGCCGGCCCAAGAGGGAGAGGGAGGGAAAAGGGACTTTTTAGAGCTTTTCTTTTTATAAAACCATTTTAACTTTGTTTATTTCTTAATAATTATTATTTGTGCTCTGAAAATTCCACTAAAATTTATTTATGCATTTTAGACTCTTAGGAAATATACAAAAATCCTCCAAGCCTTATTTGACTTTTAACTTTGCACCTTTTAATTGTTGGAGGCTTTCACACGGATTTTAATTATTCTAGGCATAATTTAGAGGATGTATTTTAGGGTCGTTTTGGGACGTGACATAGTCGCACCCATGGCAATTAAGAAGCGGTTCGCGGGATGCACTAGAGGACTTACCGCGCTTACCACAAGCGGGAATGGGTGACTGCTTGATCTGTAGTATAGCTTTCCTCTGGCTGACGCATCCAGGCAAGGGTAAGCGTGATGGAGTTCAGATGGGCCTTGCGATGGCCTATGCGGCTTGCTGATTCGCCTAGCCACGAGGGGGGCTGCTCATTGCCTGTTGAGGAGTGGGGGTGAAACCTGAGGTGTGGTGTGCTTGGTCAGAGGGGGTTATATGAAGGGTCTCGTCACAATCACTCAACATGGTGACGTGTCCGGCCGGGCGCGTTGACATGCCGGTGGATTGTGTCTTGTGAGTACAGTTGTGCACCTCTGGCCAAACTAAAACTATTCAAATAGCTGTGCCCGTGGTTATGGGCGATCGACCAGAATCACCGTGATTAGTCTCACTCTTAATAAATCGACTCAATGCATAGGTTAGTTCAGGTGGGATGGTTGGTCATGTTCAACGTGGTGTAGCGTTGTTCAGTGCAGGCATAATATTATCTTAATTAATCGAATGTTCTATTGTTTGCTCAATAAAATGCTTTGCAACCACCTTTATATCAATAGCCACAAACCCCTCTTTGTATCCCCTTGCATGTCTGCATCGATTGTTGGTTTGGCTTGCTGAGTACGGTGGTGGTACTCAGCCTTGCTATTATTCTCCCTTTTCAGAAGTGTAGCGCTTTTGAGCTGAAGACGAAGTTAGAGGACCAAGGCTCAGACCCTAGTTGAGTTTTGCCTGTGGAGTGGAGCTGAAGCCCCCCGCTAGGATCGCCTTTTTTCGCTTCTGTCACTTTCTTTTCGGTGTGAGGACTAACCGGCTCTTCTGTAAGTATTTACGCTTTATTTACGTTTGGATCTATATATTAATTTATTGTTTTGTGTATCCTGGCTGATTCCTGGACAGAGATTTAATACACAAGATATTCCGGAAATTTGGGCTAAATTTCTGTGCGTGACAGTATATATACGTGGGATGTATTTTAAATAAATCTATATAATTGTTTTAAAATAGTGGGTCCACCGAATTGAATGAAAATCGAGGGTTGGATGTTTTTCTTTTTTCTCAGAATTTGTAAGATTTTTTCTTCTTTATTAGAGCGCCACATGACATCTTAGAAGCGTTTGTAGGAGTACCACATGGCGGCTTGCGAGCGTTTATAGGAAGTTTAATGATTTTTTTTATATAATAATAGATAGATGCTGATTCTTTTTGAAAATTTTTTTGACATGATTCTTTTTAGAATTTTGGTATCCCAGAAAGTTCTCACTCCAAAAAATTAAAACGTAGTACGTATTCTGGTAATGATATATAGCTAGCAGGTTTTCATGAACAGTTATGCGGAAAGCTAATCGTCAAGAGTAGAATTCAATTTCTTGTAATTTCTCTGGGTTGATAATATTTAGAGCACGGTCTTTAAAAACCAATTTTGATAATTATTTTCTATTATAATATGTATAAAACTGTTAACAAATACTCCATTCGTTTCATATTATAAGACTTTCTAGCATTATCCACATTACTATAGATGCTAATGAATCTAGACACATATATAGAACTAACGTCTTACGTTGTGAAATGGAGGAAGTATATGATTTTATTAAAATATTTTTTAAGACTAATCTATACACGTAGTCACTATATTTGAATGAAAAATATTTTAGAAATGATTCATAATTAAAGATTCTAAAATTTAACCTCACTCTTGTATAGAACGACAAGTATTATCGGCCCAGAGAAAATATACTATGGATTCTATTCCAATAATAAATATATACCAATCTATAAATATATTCTATACCACATACAATCCAGAGTTCTAGACTCGCCATAATTAGTATTTAAAAGTGGTGCTCATAGGGGTAGGGTTTGCTGTGTGCCTTCATAGGGTTGAGTCTACGTGTGTTGTGAGTGATTGCGTTGTACTGCGTAAATTTTTTAAAAAAAATTAAAGAAGAGTTGTGCTGCGTTTCAGACCTCTACTTATAGCGCAGTAGTGCCATCATCCCATTCCGAAGGAAAAGGAAGACCGAAAAAAAAAAAAACATTAGTGCCCTCACTGCATTACAGCAATGGCGCATGCTAAGAGCAATGGATATCAAGCCAGTGATGCCACCAGCTCGCTCGACGCTCTGAGAGAGCTCTACGGCAACACCTTCGCCGTCGTCAAGTCCATGGCTCTCAAGGCCGCCATGGACCTCGGCATCGCCGACGCCATCCACCACCACGGCGGCGCCGCCACTCTGTCCCAGATAGTCACCAGGGTCGCGCTCCACCCGTCCAAGGTTCCATGCCTGCGTCGCCTCATGCGCGTGCTCACTCTCTCCGGCGTCTTCGCCGTCCAGAAGCTGGCGCCCGGCGATGCCGCAGCCCCTGCCGACGAGGCCGAGGCGGCCGTCTACGCGCTCACGCCGGTGTCCCGCCTCCTCATCGGCGCCGGGAACCAGGGACACATGATGTCCATGCTGCTCCACCCGAACTTCATCACCCCCTTCTTCCGGATCAGCGACTGGCTCCAGCGCGAGCTGCCTGGCCCGTGCATCTTCAAGCACACCCATGGCCGGAGCTTGTGGGAGATGGCCGACGACGACGCCGCGTTCAACACGGTCGTCAACGACGGGATGGCGTCGGACAGTATCTTCACGATGGACATCCTGGTCAGGGAGCATGGCGAGGTGTTCCAGGGGATCAGCTCGCTGGTCGACGTCGCCGGCGGGAACGGCACGGCGGCGCAGGCCATCGCCAGGGCGTTCCCGGAGGTGAAATGCAGCGTGATGGACCTCGCCCACGTCGTCGCCGAGGCTCCCGGTGGCACCGGTGTCGAGTTCATCACCGGCGACATGTTTGAGAGTGTTCCACCGGCAAACGCTGTCTTCCTCAAGGTATATTAATTGGTCTCGCAATTCTCTCAAGTACATTTCCGTTTTTTTCTAAAAATTTGGCGTCACACATATTTAACACATTTTCAGTCATTTTTTTATGTGTAGTTGCTATCTCTGTATATGTTTATTTCTCGTTTAGCTCCTACTCGACGTAATTAATTAATCACTTTCGATCCTATTCTATTACATGTTGTGCATTAGAAAATTTATAGTTTTATTACAGTATAAATGCTGGTGATTTAAAGTTTAAAGCGATTTGTTTTGTTGAAAAATATGGCAAACCCCCTTATTTTTGTTGTTCCCGTATTGCTGTAACATATGTCTACCAAGGTACGTGCTTTTGCTATGGACAGTGTCGTACAAATTGTCGATGGCGATTGCAATTAAAGTCACGCGCTTTTTTTATAAACATTACTGCGTACCAAGCTTTTTCAATATAATTAGCAGTTGAATTTTGGATATAATGTTCAATCATTCAGCTTATTTATAAAAATATTACTCCTACGTAGACATCATCATTTATTTTGCTATGACCTATTGAAGGTACAGAGGACTTTAAACATGACTTATATATTTTATAGTAGTATTGGAGAATACTATTATTGTAAAGATTTCAAAGTTGGAAAATATCATCGCATATGTCCTTGACACGTTGGTCAGGGACTCACATTTCATTCTCACAAATGATGGTATTTTTCAACTCATACATCTTTATGATGGTATTCTCCTAATATTTGCTATCTGCTATATATTTATAGTAAATTTTTAAATAAAATAAATGGTCAAACATTATGTACAAAAGTCAACAGAGATATATTCTACAATTATGGGAGTACTGGTTAGAGGTTTCGTAAACCACACAAATTAATACTAGAAGATTCAGAATGATAGAAATTCCCTTGTTATAAAATATCTGAGAAATTTTCATCTTAATATATTAAAATCATGTGCGTCCATACATAAAAATTGATGGCTGAGATGGAAAATCCCTACCATCAAATCTGTTTAAGATCAAATACAAATGGGTCATAAATTAAAGCTATTCGAAGGCAAGCATATATATTATCAGAATAATATATGCCTGATCAAAAATGAAAATTAGATACAACTGTTTAGAAAAAAGAATTTCGTATATATATGCCTCCACTGAAATTCACTAAATTTATCTTCAAAATTGAATGTCACTTTCGGTGCAAATTAAGGTTGAGACCAGTGCAATGCTAATTATATTTTTGTAATTGATGTCAGACTCTTAAATTTTGTGTAAGTCATTATACTTTGGTTCCACCGATAAGTTATTCACTATTACACCTTTAATTCACATTGGGAATTTTAGAAATGTCCAATTAGTACAAGGTTAGATGTACATACAGATACATATATTTACAGAATAATATATAGTTATGGAGGGACTGTTATATATTTACCTTCTGTCTCTCCTGATATAAATTTATTATATATTTAGTGGATTATGCACGATTAGGGTGACAACGACTGTGTCAAGATACTGGGGAACTGTAAGAAAGCCATCCCAACTAGAGACAAGGGAGAAAAGGTGATAATCATGGATATAGTGGTTGGGACAGGGCCGTCCGACCAAAAGCATAGAGATGTGCAGATCTTGTATGATGCATACATCATGTTTATCAATGGTGCCGAGAGAGATGAGCAAGAGTGGAAGAAGCTTTTCCTTGAAGCTGGGTTTAGTGACTACAAGATTATGCCAATTATGGGATTCAGGTCAATCATCGAAGTCTACCCTTGAAGAAGTTGCTGATTCTTCCATGAGCAATCTGTGTGTGTTGCTTGGGTTGTTTGTGAAATTGTGATCAGACCAATCAAATAAGTGTGTGGTGTAGCCCCAATCAAATAAGTGTGTGGTGTAGCTTCATATCTATGTATTCGCAGTTCTACTTAATTTGCCTTTGAAAATTTCATGAAAATAGTAGGAATAATGTATGTACCCCAGGACATAAATATCCGCTCACCTCTGATGGCCCATCAGTGACGGGCCAAAGTGCTAGTCACGGATGGCCGTCACATTTGACGCGTTCTAGGGATGCCGTCATCAGTAAGCCCTTTGTCTGTGGCCTGTCAGAGGTGTGGTTCAGTGACCTCAAACGGGCAACTGTCAACTGCTTTCGATTCCAACCCAGTGCACTATTCACATTTCAGATGGGACAGGAAAGAGGGCGATTGTTTGCTGGAAATCGGAGGTAAAAAAGAACTGTGAAAATTATTATTTTCTAACGTGTACTATGTGTTGGCAACTTTTTGTGACAAGTTGACAAGCACGATTGTAGCACCTTATGCCTTGCGGTGATCCTAGAGTCGCGAACCACCTCGATCTAGCAAAGAGCTAAACCTAGATGGATTTTGACAAATAAACCGGCTAGCGTAGCCGATTTTAGATAACTACTTGTCTCGTGGGCAAAACGGAAGGTTTTCAGGACAAACCTACAAAGAGATGTCGCACTCTCGCAGCGGCGGCGGATGGTTTACGGCGCAAACTGACAAAGATGGACAAATTAAGAGAAAACTAAAAGCAATATGAAAAACGATAATCCATTTACCGGCCATAGTACCTTCTAAGCGTCTTGCCAAACTCTCGGGAAGTATTTCTTCAAGTATTTCCCGTTGATTGCTCGCTGAAAACGCTCCCCTTGAAGTGTCTCCAAAAAATATGCGTTCCCTCGAACAATGCCGCATACCCGATAAGGACCTTTCCAACTAGGAGACCACTTACCGAACTCCCTGGATCGAGTACCCGAAGGCAAAATTGTCTTCCAAACCAAGTCTCCAACTTGAAACAACTTTGCTTTCACCCTTTTGTTGTATGCCTAGGCCACCCTCTTCTTCTCTTTGTCTATCTCTTCCAAAGCCTTCAAACGCTTGTCAATGACATCATCAAGGTCTTAACAAATGTCTTGTAATCTTCACTTAACAAATCATCTTGCTTGATATAACGAAGAGAACCAAGATTTACCTCAATCGGTAAAACAACTTCTTGACAATAAACCAACTCAAAAGGAGTGACTTTAGTGGCACCATGTTTAGATATCCTATGCGCCCACAATGCTTCGGAAAGCACTTCATGCCACCTCTTTGGGTGTTCCTCAATCTTCTTTTTCACTAGCTTTAACAATGTCTTATTACTCGACTCGGCTTGTCCATTAGCCTGAGCGTAGTAAGGAGAAGAACTCAACAATTTAATACCATAAGATTCGGTAAAACTCTTTACTTCCTTAGACATAAAAGAAACACCTTGATCCGTAGTTAATGTTTGCGGGATACCGAATCTATGAATAATATGCTTCAAATTAAAGGCAATTACCTCCGTATAAGTCATATTCTTCAGCGGCACAGCTTCGGCCTACTTGGTGAAGTAATCCGTAGCAACTACCACGAACCTATGCCCCTTTGATGACGAAGGATAAATTTGACCAATAAAATCCAAAGCCCAACCTCGGAACGGCCATGGTTTGATTATAGAGTTCAACACGGCGGCGGGCACCAATTGAACATTGCCGAACCGCTGACAAGCTTCACATCCCCTATAGTATTTGAAGCAATCCTCAATCATCCTCGGCCAGTAGAACCCCGCTCTCCTAAGCAACCAATTCATCTTGTGGGCCAATTGATGAGTTCCACAAATTCCTTCATGTACCTCTCCCATAGCCACTTTAGATTGATCTTCATCTAGGCACTTCAACAAGACACCATCTATATTTCGGGATATAAATCTTCATCAAGCAACGTGCATTTGAGTGCTTGCCACCGAATTTTCCGATCAACCTTAAGTGTGGGATCTTTTAAATATCGAATCAAAGGAATTCTCCAATCCTTTAAATATCGAATTTTCCGATCAACCTTAAGTGTGGGATCTTTTAAATATCGAATCAAAGGCCGGTCAGACCGCTCGGGGTCGCCGGTCAAACCGGCGGCATGTGGCCGGTTATACCGCACTTGGTCACCGGTCAGACCGGCCGCGCAACGTCGGTCAGACCGCCCCTGGTCTCCAATTTCGCCAATTTCGCACAGAGATTTAAAATCAAGCACCGGCTCTTCCAATACCAGAAATAATCCCTTCTTCACATTATAGCCAGATGCTTGTTGAGCCAAGTCATTTGCTCTAGAATTATCATGCCTAGCAATATGTCTAATAGTAAAATTATCAAAATTGGCAATGATATCCAAGCATGAATCAAGGTACCTATTTAGTGATCCGTCCAAGCATTTATAAAATCCGGCGACTCGTTGCACCACCAATTCCGAATCACCAAAAGCTTCCACGTGCTTAGCTCCAACCATCTCCATGATTTGTAAGCCGAATAATAAAGCATTGTATTTGGCTTGATTATTTGTACAATAATATTCCAAACGAACCGATGCTTCATAACACATGCCATTAGGTGAAAACAAAACTACCCCTATGCCTTGACCTTCTTTGCAAGAAGAACCATCAAAATAAATCTTCCAAGGTATAACTTCAACTAGGCAAACCTCTTCCTCATAAGCAATATCTACATGATGTTCTACTATAAAATCACATACATTTTGGCCTCTCACAGATTTCAATGGTTCATAAGCCAAATCATACTCTATCAAAGCATATGCCCACTTGCCAATTCTCCCACTTAGAATTGGCCTTTGCAACATGTGTTTAATAACATTGGCTTGACAAGCAACTATGCATGTACTAGATAACAAATAATGCCTTAATTTGGTACAAGCATAGTATATGCATAGACAAAGTCTCTCTATAAAGACATACCTCGTTTCGGCATCCAAAAGACGGCGGCTAAAATATGTAATAATATATTCCTTGCCATCTTCCTCTTGTGTCAAAACGGCACCAATGACTTTGTCTTCGGAGGCAATATATAACCGAAAAGGCTTTCCAGCTTTAGGCGCCCGCACAACGGGTGGAGTAGATAAATACCTCTTCAACTCCTCAAACGCTTCTTGTTGTTTTGCCCCCCATGTAAAATCGGCTTCTTTTTTCAAGCGAAGTATAGGAACAAAAGCATCGATTTTACCTGCTAGGTTAGAAATAAATCTTCTCAAATAATTCACCTTACCTAGCAACTTTTGGACCTCCTTCTTGCATGTCGGCGCTTTGAAATCACGAATTTTTTCTATCTTCTTAGGATCAATCTCAACTCCTCTCTCATGCACCATGAATCCTAAGAATTTCCCTGCCGTCAAACCAAAAGCACATTTAAGTGGGTTCATCTTCAAACCATACCGGCGCATCCTCTCAAAAGCCAACCTCAAATCGGCTATATGTTCCTCCATACCATCCGATTTGACAACAATATCATCAATGTAGATTTCTAAGATAATACCTAGTAAATCATGGAAGATCAAATTCATTGCCCTTTGATATGTTGCACCGGCGTTCTTCAATCCAAAAGTCATGACAACCCACTCAAACAAACCAACAAATCCCGGGCACCTAAAAGTCGTTTTATATATATCCTGTTCCGTCATAAAGATTTGATTGTTGCCGGCATTACCATCTAAAAAACTAATCACTTTATGACCCGAAGCATCATTGATCATCATGTCGGCTATAGGCATAGGATATTCATCTTTGGGAGTAGCTTTATTCAAATCTCTAAAGTCCATGCAAACTCTAATCTTACCACTTCCCTTCTTCTCCACCGGGACTATGCTAGAAACCCACTCCGCATAATGACATCGCCTAGTAAACCCCGCCTTCAACAACTGATCAATCTCCTCTTTGACTCGGTCATATAGCAAAGGATTAAAACGACGAGGTGGTTGCTTGTAAGGGCTAAAACCCGGTTTAATTGGAAGCCGATGCTCAACAAGCTCACGGCTAAGACCCGGCATCTCATGGTACTCCCACGCAAAGCAATCAACATACTCTTTAAGTAGCTCGATTATCTTAACCTTTTAATCGGCTCTCATATTTTTGTTTACAAAAGTTGGCCTTGGTTTAGTTCCATCACCTATGTCTACTTCCTCCAATGGATCGGCCGATGTAAACCCTTGTCCAAGTTTCTCCACTTCATCGAAATCTTCAATAGTCTCACCAATATCATTCTTTGTAGACCGATATTCTTGCACCCTCTTTTGTAACCACTCTAAATTAGCCCCTTTACTCATTATACAAATTTATATGGCTTAGCTGTGCTACACTAGCCGGCTTTACAGAGGTAGATACAAATTTGCCATCGGAAATACTAATAAAATCATAGCTAGAAAGATCCATCCCCGATAAGCATTGAATATTCCCATGATGCCACTCAAAAGTAGCATCAGCCATTGCAACCTCGGCCGATGTATCCGCTTGAACAATCTCAACATCATCGCTGTCCCATTGAATTAAACATTGATGCAAGGTAGAAGGCACTCAATAATTGGCATGGATCCAACAACGACCCAAAATAACATTGTAATTACCTTGCACATCGACGATGAAGAAAGCGGTTGGTAACGTCTTGTTTCCCATGGTAAGCTCCACCGAAAAGATACCCTTCGCCTCCTTTGGTTCACCATTGAAGCCATTGAGAATCATGTTGGTCTTCTTCAACTCATTATCTCCACGCCCCAACTTATTGAACAACGAATACGACATCAAATTCACGGCGGTACCTCCATCCACTAGCATCCTAGCTATGGTCTCAACGCCCTTACGAGGTAGTGATGAGTTTCACGCGCTCTAAGCCCGGCCAGCGCGCAGTTAGGAGGATTGGCCGCTATCTGAGCGGTACCACCCATCCTACCCTACTACCTATAGGGGGCCGTCCGTCCTACAGCCGCCCGAAAAGGAACTGCAGAGACCGGCTTCCCATCAATATGACCCTTGAGATAGAGAGGCTTCATATGACAATTTGACTCATCGGGTTTCTCAAAAACCGCATCTTTAGGACCTAGTGAAAATTGAGCAACCTCGGCTTCATCCATAGCACAAAACTCTATAGGCAACATATA